GACAGTGTGTGTTCGTATCAATATAGGTGTCAGCCAAGGCAGTTCTCGCAGCCTTGAGGTCAGCAATTGGCGTATCTCTGTTTACAGCTATCCAGGATCACAGCAGCCTGCTTATCCGGGCCTCCTGTTCAAGGCTTACTGCTCTGTGTGCCCTGTATGCTCCAGGCAAGCAAAAATGGATGTTCGGGGGAGGGGGGGGGTGTTCATGTCTGGCTACAGATGTCCTTGAGCAATTAGTAGGGATATGAATGGCTAACCAGTAAGCATCACCTGAGCAGCCCACTGCACTTTTGCCTGAAGCATCCCCTCCCGCCCGACCCCATTTAAGCAGTTAACCGATTAAACTCAATGTTAAACCGGTTAACTGATTTCATGGGATTTTACATCCCAAGCTATTAGATTTCCATGGATTAGTGGGACTCAATATAATACCAAAGAAATAAGGTTTTGCTAGTGAAAAGACTAAACTGTTTCCTCTAAGCTTTTTAGGTATCATTTTGTTTAATTTTGCGTCATATTTATCACTGATGACAGCTAGTGATGGAATTGACTTAATTGTCATTTTGAAACTTCCCTTGATCAGCTCGCAAGACAGCACAAAACTAATCTTCCCTTTTGAAAGAAATTACAGCATTAGGTAATAGGTCTTTCACAAAACTCATGTTCTTTTTAATGTGACAAATTTTATTAAGGCATTGATGTTTTAACCTTTGCGGCCAAACATTGAAATTCAACTGGAGGTTATAAGTAGAAATGACATGTCCTTATGTGCCTTCTGGAATTTTGAAGTAATTATTTTCATGAGGACATAGTTGATGGCTTTTGCTTCAGGCATCTTGGGACATTACTCAAAGGTTAGGTTAGATATGTTGACAAAGTTGTAGAAAAGGCATCTTGCACAGATCCTGTGGTGTTTTGTAATGTGTTACTAAGCTTTTGGAATTGGGTTTGTCATGAGAAGGTTCAGTACTTTCTATTGACTGTACAAGCGTTCTGACACAAGATTTGGAAATATCTAGTTCACAATGTATAGGTTATGAAGCTTCACACTGGTATTAGCATGGAAACTTCCATAGGGAGCATTGCTTCTTCTATGTTGCAGGAGAGTCCAGACTTACAAAGGTATTTAGGTGCCTATGTTGCAGACAGATACATAATGTAATTGACTTTGAATGGGAACTAAGTCTGTATTTGAATGACTCTGTAAATTGTACAGTGTTCCTATTTGCAACTTTAGGCACTTAATAAATACCTTACTGGATCTGGCTAAACTAAATTTAAAATACATATTGGGAGAGAACAGAAGCTGGAGTTGGTTCTCAAAAGAGGGTGACTAAAGTTGGGTGTCTAAGTAGGTGGTATATTTATAAAGATGCTGAATATCCAGAACTGCCACTAAAATAAATGAGAACTCTAGGTGATCACAGCCCAGTTTTCTGAGGTAGTGTTTTGGGGTGTTTTTGGAGGGAGGGGCACAAGAGGCTGCCTGAGTATTGAATTCAGAGCTGATCTTCACACATCAAGTTTGAGAGATGAAATTCAAAGAATTGAATTGTTCTGATAGATAAAATAGCATGTCCAGCTTACTGCTAATCACAGTCAGGTACAAATTTCTTCCCATCCCTGCCTCAGTACAGTCCTCCTAGCTAGGGTTACCAGGTGTCTGGATTTGACCAGGATGTTAAAAGTCCAGTTGGCGGCACAGGTGGGCTAAGGCAGGATCTCGGCCTACCATGCTTCGTGCAGCTCCCATAAACAGTGACATGTCCTGGCCTCTGGCTCCTATGTATAGGGGTAGCCAGGGAGTTCTGCATGCTGCCCTCGTCCTACATTCTTAATCAGCAGCTCCCATTGGCTGGGAATCGCAGCCAGTGGGAGCTACTAGGGCAGCATCTGTGAATGGGTAGCATGCAGAGCCACCTGGCCATGCCTCATTATAGGCGCTGGAATGGAGACATCCCGCTGCTTCTGGGAAATGCTCGAGGTAAATGCACCCCTGAGCTCTTCCCTCTACCCCAACTCCTTGCTCCAGCCCTTATTTTCCCCCCCCCCATCCAAACCCCTTGGCCTGAGCCTAGAGCACCTTTCTGCACCCCAAACCTCTCACTCCTAGCCCCAACTGAGAGATTTAAAATAATTGATTTGTGTATTTTTATTGTTTGAACATATAAAATGTGCTTGAGTCACATTTGTAAGCTGTTCTCTACGATCTTGAGGACTAGAAACATTTTTTTTTATCAAAGCTGAGCTTTTTACATATTCACATGCCTTCATGAGCTGGGGCTTTAAGAAGCATGCCAAATAGCACAAGGCTTGGAAAAAAAGTAAGTTGGCAATACAGTTCTTCTAGCTATTGAAATAAGGACATGGTGTAAAAATATAGAGCTAGCAGATTTTATAATATAAGACTTCAGGCAAAACTACTTTTATTTGAAACAGACATTGCTATAGATTCTCTCTAGTTTTGAGACACATCTGATTTTATTAGACTTTTATTTTTGCTTTCCATTGTGACTATGGAGAGGCGATGATATTGTGAATGTGGGCTTCCAACTATTTCCAAGTAAATAACATTCTGTGGTAGCTGCTATAATTTCCCAAGGATCAGTAACAAAATGCCACTGGTGTGAAATCTCTGCTGGAGAGAAATGAATTAAATTGTGGGCACTGCAGAAACCTAGGCAATCCATTTTGTATGTTTGCCTTCCAAGGGATTTAAACATGAGAATGTGGGGACAAAACAAAGATTAACTTCTTTTAGCTTAGACTGTTCCCGCTTACTGTAATTTTGAATGTTTCCCAAGTTGTTTTTAGAAGGATTTGAATAATTGCTTCTCAAAGTGTGGGTGTGGAAGAACAAACTGAGTGTATTACTGTGGCCTGAAAGGGATTTTTTTTAAATATATTGTCTCTGTGGTCTAGCATACATTAATCTTTGCACATGAACAAGTAACTTACATGAAAAGCAGTCCAGCTAGACTATAGATTGTAGCACAATCAAAGAAAATACTGTTTTTCCTTTTAAAACAAATTAAGACATTTCACTAAAATCAGTGTAATTTGCTGGATAAAACAAATTTTACAACCAGCACAAATCTGTACAAAATATTATCTTTGCACATTCATTGACCTCATACAGCCCGGGACCAGCGGGAAGTTGCACTGACTCTTGGCTGCACGCAGCGTGCCTGCTTTGAAATGCACGAGAGTCCCCAGTGGGGGCTCTTGTGCATTTCAAAGCCATGGAGCCCGGGGTCAGCGGGGGACTAGAGGCAGCAAGGGGGGGCGGGGATATTGACTAGTCACAATACTATCCGATAAGCAAATGCTTATCGAATAGTCTTTTACATCCTTCAGGAGCTTACCATCATAAGGTTGTATGTGTTGTACCTATCGATGTTTTCAGTTTGTCAACTTCGCGGAGCCCCTGGAGAGGTCTCGCACAGTTTGAGAAACACTGTATTAGAAGTGATCTGCTTCAGTGACCAGCAAACCCACTCTCAAACTTTTGGCAGACCAGTAACATTTTATTTGCATATTTGCAATGAATGAATATTCAAGTAAAATGTTGCCAAAGGCACCCAGAGCCCTCTAGCGCCAGCCCTAACCCCAAGAGCCCCCCCCCTCCACTTCTACCCCCCCAGCATCAGCCACTGACCCCAGAGCCCCCTGCACTCATTCCTTGCAGTGCCAGTCTCCTGCCTTCGACTGCCAGCCCCCCCACCAGCCCTCCAATGCCACCTCCTGTTTCCAGAGCCCCACTGTACCCAACCTCCCCAGTATCAGACCCCAGTCCCCAATATTAGCCCTGTCCCCAGAGTCCCCCAGTGCCAGTCCTGCCCCCATAGCCTCTTGCCACTATTAGCTCCACCCCCAGAGCTCTTCAGTGCCACCTTCCCGCCCTGGATACCCCAGTGCCTGCCTTTTCCCCCACCTAGCCCTATGCTGCCTCCCAGCCACCAGCTGTGTGCTGCTGTCCAGGTCACGC